GCTCCAATCGGGCAGTTTCCAAGGCAAATGCAGGACGTTACCGCTCAACGGTTACCAATTCCGCCAGAACTAGTGGTATGTCCACTGTATGCTCCTATCAAGGTCACGCCATTTCGTTGGTTGTGATATCTGTCCAACCTATGGCGCATATGGTTGTGCAGGCGAAGTTGAGGCATGAGTTGATTTAGGGATGGCAGGCCGTGTAAGGAAGGAATGGGCGGGGACGATGTGGATGTACGTCTTAAGGCGACAAGAGATCTTATAGAACAAAGACCACTTAGGTTATATGTCCGGGGGCAGGCGGAATTTTAATCAAGAGCAGACAAAGAGCCATCTAGGCCTCACAAAAGACAGTCCTCTGTGGTTCGTATGATTTTGTGTAAACGCGTACTGTATCGAATAAGGAGACACGATCGCTGGGACAAGAGCTTTATTCGCCCAACGTCTCGAATTCCTGCTCGAATTAACCATCAACGACAATAGCAGGTACGGGTGCAGATACGAGCAAAGTATTTTTGACATTGGTGTAGGTCGTATCAGTGTCGAAGTACACCAGCACACTTGTTCGCATATGTTTATTTTTTGCTTGTCTGTTGACGCATCTATAGTGGCGCTACGTAGCTTCCATGCATGAGGACCTTCAAAGATAATGGTATGGTTTGAGAATTTCATGTAACAGGGTAGTTTGTTGATAATGATTTGTCTGATTTGGAGTCCATTCGCGGTTCCCAGGTGAATTTGGACGCTGCGATGTGGTCGAAATCCGTATTAGGTCAGTATAGGTTAGTAATGCCTTTGAAAACATTATTGAAAACCGTACATGCAATATCTTACTTTAAATAAACATGGTACTAAAATGTTGCCAGTAACATCCCCACTTAACAGAACATTTTCGTTTGCAAATGCTGGACCGAAACTCGAGAACATTCAGTTGTAGATGATATCGGTAAAATTAAATGAAAATCATCCGCATTAGCAATAGGTGTATGCAAGTCGTTGGTTTGGCATAACAGAGTTTTTCTAACCAGACATGTCGTATTATCCAAGCAAATATACGTGTAGTCTTTGCTTGACTGTCTCTGTGTAATCGGCCACTATCACGTCGATGGAAAGCCCGTTCCAGGCACCGACGACTCGCTGTGAAAAAGAGTATCTGCGTACGTCCAGACGGCATCGGGATCCTTTAAGTTTTAGAGATTTCCCACGCAGTTTTGTTGTTGTGGCCAGGGTGAAAAAATCGTCGAGTTTTAGGGCACAGTCCCAGTTCCCCAATAGCCGATACGCCTGTATGAGATCTCCTCGAATCTGCCTGTACTCAAGAGGAAATAGGTTAAGGAGGAGGGGCCTCGAAGTTCTGCCTGCCGCCTGAGGCAGTTCTTTATAAAACTGATCGAATATCCGTTAGATCGAAATAACCGATACAGATACGCTAGTGCTTTCTTCAGGAGCTCGTCATTGCTGCAATATCAGGCCTTCCATTATTGAAGGAGTGAGTTCAGCCATATATACGTATATTGTGGAGGGGGTGCCCACCGATCGCGCTACGACACTCACTCCTCCCGTTGTACCTTGGGGCATTCTCTCAAGCCCTGCCATCATCCGCCCAACGGCGCGTACTACAGGCAAAAAAGCATTACTGACCAACGCCGGTGGGCGCCGCACTTCTCGTATACAATGCGTGACCTATCTCATAAAAATGTTGGCTAAAATTCTGAAATGCGTTTTCGATTACGAAGGATTACTTGGTCGCGGTTGTGATACTGATTATCTCAAGGCAAAATCTTATAACATTTGAGACTTGGCAGGATGTCGGCTTTAAAATTAACGTTTTTTCAATCTCCTGTAGAAAGCGTGCTCGGTAAAAATGACAACTTAAGTAGCATGCATTTTTCCAATTGATTTTCGATGGTCTTGGAAATTCAAATATATTTTATAGAAACCACAAACAAAAATATGCTTTCTTTTAGTCAATTAATAGAAAATCACGTCTTCTTTATATTTAATACTTAGGAAAGGAGTATAATTAGGTTTTAAAAAAGTTTTCTAATTACCGAAAAAATTGGAGCCTGATCATTCGTTGCATTAGCGCTTAGTGATTACACTCTACAAGGAGCATGCGTTCCGCATGAAGAAAATCTCTTATTTTTCTATGTCATTAAAGAGATATCATACAGGGTCTATAAAATTTTGAAATGGATGCGGTTCATGTTGTACATTTCATGAGGAGCAGTTGTAAACGGCCAGGTATGATGTGAATGGACATATCGCGGTCTTAAAAAGTCTCATAATTAGAAACTTTTTCAAAACTTGATTATACTCCTTCCTTAAGTATAAAATATAAAGAAGACGTGATTCTCTATTGATTGACTAAAAGAAAGCATCCTTTTTGTTTGTGGTTTCTATAAAATATATTTAAATTTGCAAGACCATCGAAAATCAATGGGGAAAAACGCATGCTACTTCAGTAGTCATTTTTTACCGAGCACGCTTTCTACAGGAGATTGAAATGAAGTGCATTTAAAAGCTGACATCCTGCCGAGTCCAAAATTTTGTAAGAATATGCCTTAAGATAATCAGTATCACAACCGCGACCAAGTAATCCTTCCTAATCGAAAACGTATTTCAGAATTTCAGCCAACATTTCATAGTCACGAGCACGTGTAATCCAAAACATCCTTCTGCGCTATGTTCGTATTCGCAAAGCCCAAAGGGTCTCATATGCGACTAATCCAGTAAAAACAAACATTTTTAATTGTAGGGCTGTTCTGAAAACCAAAAGAATATTGAAGTATTTAATGTCGGCTTCCACATTCGGATTTTCTTTGAAATTTCTGTTGACAGACACATGAAAGTCTAAGGCATGGGAGGTTTGCGCTAAGAAGTGATATTTTACGGACTTTCGTAGTTCTTCTGTGATAAGGAGTTGGATGTAGGTAAGTAACCAGGTTCACGTTAACGCGAAAGCAATGTTGATAAAGCGAATGACATCGCAGTATTTATGCTCCCACATGTAACGCTGCCTTTGCCAACATTTTCGAGACTTTAGGACTTCTCATGACCACAAACGTTTTGCTACAGTGAAACATCCTTCCTTCAAGTGCAAATTTAAAAAAAGAGGTAATTCCTGGAGAATTTGTGCAATAAAGACTCTCTCAGGAGAACAATCGGGTGTCGTCTATCAGATCCCATGCCGCGAGTGCCCTCGTCACTACACAGGACAGACCGGACGACGGCTTAGCTCGCGAATAACGCTGCATAAACGGGCGTTCCAGAGAGGTCACTCTTTACAGCCTGTAGGAGGGCCACGAATTCAACTTCGCGAGCACGCGAATAATGGCGCCGGCCAGCCATAAGACAGGGTGATAACTGCTGGGGCCCTGTGTGTCTGACACCAACTCCATCAACAGACACGCTGACATTCCCTCCTGCTATCACGCGCTCCGTTCCCGCGGCCAAGAGGCGAGACCCAATTTTCAGTCAAGAGTGCACGCAGTCACGCCGCCGTGAGACGGCGTGGACTCAGCCTTATTGCGATTACCACCTCCTGCACTCCTATCCCCCTTCATTGTTTGACTAAAAACTGCTCATTTGACGCCACATTCTCACAGTCCCTGAAGATGGCCTCTAGTGCGAGAGCGAAAGCGTGCTGTACGCGTACTGTCCCAGTGATCGCGCGTTCATATTCTTTGCAAGAGACTCTTGATCTATAAAATCACATCGAGCTATCCGAAACCACTGGGCCAGCAGGTGTCAGCAACAGCAGAGGCGGTCGCCACCAGGTTGCGAAAAACAATTTTGTGTGCACAGTCTCCGCGCCTACAGTGGTCGAAGGTCGACTAATGCTGCAACTCTCCCCACGCCCTTCCGCTCTCACCCCACCCCTGACAGCTATAACCCCTCCCCCACATTTCAACACCCCGCCTGTGTTTTAAGGCGAACGTTGATCGATTCATCTTGTCACTGACGTGCTTTTACTGCTTACTCGTTCCCTTATAATTGTACTGGACCGACGAGAATTTATCGAACGCTACGTAGGCTCGCCACCTCGTCTTCTGATTACTGCTGTGGGAATTTTTGCAACAGATTTTGCGGGGACACCGAAAAACAAAGGAAATACACGCATCATCTAGGCTATCAGATATAAGAAAAGTTGAGTTTTGCTGTGCTGTAGCGTGCGTAGACGATGGCGTCACCTCGTCACCCAGTGTGACCAATCTCATATATTAGCTGACTTAGCTTAGACCTGCACCGGAACACAGACTGGGGAGGGAAGGTAAAGTCGATTCTGTAAGAGCGCTTTCCATAAAAATTTCATGTTTAAGTAATTTCGACCAATACGTTGCCGTAATTACATCTTAGTTCCGTTTTGAAAACAGTTTCTTTATGGCATCGGAGGACTGCAAATGAGTTGTTGCTCTTGAGAAGTAACTTGGTCGAATTGTCACGATATTTTGTACCAAGGGGATAAAGAGCCCTTTCAATCAAAATTCCATGCGTACGTAATTTCGGTTACTCGCTCGCCTTGATTTTATTTTATTTCCATTTTGAAAACCGTTACTTTATGACATTGGGGACTGCCAATTAACTGTTAGTTTTTTTTCGGAACAAGTTGATAGAATTGCCAAGGTCTCTTGTTCTAGGGCAGATGTTGATCGCTCTGCCTTTTAGTAAGTAGGTGTCCTCTGCTTTTCAGAGCCTACTACGCTTAACTAGTAGGTCTTAGTCGCGATTGGCGCACCGATGCCGCAGTTATACTCGAGCGCATTCCTGAACAATAGTCTTCATGATTTTCGTTTCGAATGTCGACAAACGACAGCCATTTTCTATGCAGTTCCGGAGTATTCTCAACAGAGTACGAACCGCCAGAGGAGTCAGAGTGGATTATTAAGTCGCCACCCATGTTAAATTTAAAAAGAAAGCACCCGAAAATCCAAAATGGACGTGTTTTTGGTTTAGGTCGCCAGTTTGTGGGTGGTTCTCGCAGATGGAACAACGTCCAGTTAGGTTATGTAAACTAAAAATTAGAAAAAGCGCGAATTGTCAAGGAGCTCAGAAAGGAACTTTAAACAATTATCTTAGCGAAGTGGAGGGTACTCACCGTTAGATCCAAAGCTCACGTAATGTGAGATGTACTTCTCTCCATGCGTCCCGTTAATTTTACAAATCACACTGTGGAGTGACCCCAACTTGCCCGCTCTATTTTTCACCGTAACTGATGCGTAAACCATTTCCAACTTGGGTACGTACACGACGCCACCTACGGGATTTTAATTAAATGTCATAGCGGACAATTGCAACATACCGCAGGGATCCGCCTTTTGTAGACTCAAGCTGCATTGAGTAACTCCGTCAACGAAGACTGCCAGCTTTGTAGGGTAGTTTTGAAGAGTAGGAAGAGGTTAGCATTCATGACATTTCAAATCACGTTTACCATAAAGATTTATTTAAACATATCTGGTATATATTCTTGTCGTTTATTTATTTTATGTAATGAGGGCTACAGTGTGATTAATATATTTGTTTAAAATTTTCACACTGACACAATGATATTGCTCTCAGTCATGCAGCAGAAGTTTCGAAACCGCCTCAATCCGATCTCCTCAGACGTCCTATTAGCGAGCAAAGAAGGAGAGAAGCAGCGCCTGCTCGTCAGGCGAAGGACCCGCAGCGAAACAGAGTTTAGAGTTTACAGGACGACAAGGAACACCATGAAGTTCATCAGTTTTCACAGCAACCATCCGGTAACTCAGCAGAAGAAGAAGCAGATGCGATCGCTGGAACAAGACGTTAATTGGCCAAACGTTTTGGATTCTCACTTGAACCCATCATCAGAGACAGTTTCAGATAAGGGTCAACATTCTTCATCTGGTGGCTTTCAACTGATTGTTTGAGAACACTTCAAGCGGCCTCATGCTCACGGCAACGACCCGAAAGATAAAGCTCTTGATACTCGATATATCTGGGACAAAATTACACTGGATAACCATCTGAAGGCGTCTATAAGTTGATGCCTTCGTGTTCATCCCGGGGGACCCAAACGGAATTTCCGGCCAGATGTGGTTATGTAGCCCCACCTGAAGTAAACAGGTGGAGCCGGGGGACGCACAGGCGACAAGGCCAAGTCGTTGTATGCAAAAAAAGGCTAATGGAGATGCGCGGTTGTACTTTGAATGGTTGAGAAGTATATGCCGTAACCCCTTACCCTAGTCCTAACCCCTAACTATAACCCCTACAGTAGATGGGCTAACTCATGATGTATCAATCAAAATTCCGAAATGCGTTCTCGTTTCGAAAAGATTAATCAAGGAGGGTTGTAAAACTAATAATAGAATAGCATAATCCTATAATAATTCAGTTACCTAAGGATGCCGGCTTTCGAAAGAACTTCTTTTTGGCTGCATGCCAAAGCCATGCTCTGTAAAAAATTACTACTTGAGTAGCATGCATTTTTCTCGTTGATTTTCGATGACCTTAAAAATCCAATCATATTTCATGGAAGACATATACAAAACACTCATTCATTTGCTCATTCGGTAGCAGATTACGTCTTCTTTAAATTTTATGCTCGAAAGGAGGGTATCACTGGGTTTCAATAACGTTTCTGATTGTGAGATTTGTTAATGCCGTGAAATGCTCATTCATAAAACCTCCTGCCTCTGCAATTACCAATGTGGCTTGTAAAACTGACAGTATGGCTCAAATCCACTGCTAAATTTTATGAACCCCATATATTCTTCTCTTAATATCGTAGGGATATGTATGGTTTTCCGCATGCGGAAATTATAGGGCTTGTATTTTGGAAGCCCTGAATGTAAGCGTAACGGCAGGTCGGGCTCAGAATTATTTAGGAATCGGTTAAGTTTTTGAAAACCGAATTATACCCTTCCTTCGATCGTAATATTGAACGAAGACGTAATCTACTACCGATTGGGCAAAGGAATGAATATTTTTATGCCTGTTTTCCATGAAATATAATTGAATTTTAAATGGCATTGAAAATCAACGAGAAAAATGCCTGCTACTTTAGTAGTATTTTTTACAGAGTATAGCTTTTGCATGCAGCCAAAAAGAGGTTCTTTCGAAAGCAGGCATTCTTAGGTAACTGAATTATTATAGGATTATGCTATTCCATTATTAGTTTTACAACCCTCCTTGATTAATCTTTTCGAAACGAGAACGCACCTCGGAATTTTGATTGACACTTCATGAGTTAGTCCACCTACAGTAATCCTAAACGCTAACTCTAGTCCCTGGCCATAACTCCTACCCATGACCCCTTACTCTAACCCCTAACACCAACCCCAACAGCATTAGGTCTATCAGGTGGGGCTACCAGACCACATCTTACTGGAAATAGCACCAAAAATATTGGCATACTCGGCCGCGCATAAAGGACGTCTCAGAGACGACTGAGCGTATTGCTGCAGGACTAGATTTCGGAGCTACCATGCGAAACCAGGTCACGGAAGTGAAAAACAGACAAAATCTCAGTGAGCGGTCTGTTTAATGTATCGCATCCGACACACAAACCGTCCTCATAACTACGCGAGTCAGACTGTGAGCACGCTCGGATCGTGCGGACATGAGGAAAAGCTGACTCTGTGACGAAGCGACGAATTATCACAAGTAGCCGGTCACACCTTCGAGAAGGTTCATGAGTTCAACTTTGAGCATTGTTCACTCAGTGCAGATTCCGCTCCCAAAGTCAGCTGGTTTACAGTTTACAAACTCACGTGTAAGGTAATTGGAAAGCACATTGATACCATACCTTCAACGCTAAGGGATCTCCCGGTACTTTGATGGCACACCTAACAGTCCGGGTGCTTTTCTTGGCATCAGTTACATGATAGAAGGGTTTTGAGTCCAGAAAAGAAAATGTTTGGTCTAAAATGTTGAAAAGGTGGTTCAAACGAAGGGCCGCTTTTAAAAAGACCCAAGATTTAAGACAAGGCGGCCATTTAACGTCTTTGGAGGTACACTACAGTGGGAAAAATTCGATCTAAAGTGGTAACGAGTCCATTGATCAGGGTACGGGCATGATTGTCGAGATGCGCCCTGGAATTAAATTCAGGGCCTTCACAGGTAGTCGCATGGCGACCAGCAATGACGAAGTGCAATTGCGACAAAGACAAGAGAGACTGGAATGGTGATTTGCGGCTCATTAGCCGTTGATAACCAGCCTTAAGCAATATCATGCTCGCAGATATGCAAGATCCTCAGTCAAACTAGAGATCTGCCATAGTCACTTGCAGTTTCAGGGTTTTAAAAAAAGTCCATAGGTTATTTTTCCCCAGTGGTTCACGAAGCCCCGTTGTAGGTGCACGATTGCGTTTTTTTTCATTTACATCTCAAAAACCGATAGGTGCAGAGGGAACTTTTACATAAACCATATGAGTAATATGCTACATCAGACCTATGTATGGTCATAGGAGTCTACGGTGCAACCTTAATCATATTGACGACTATTAGTGAAAGCCTTCAGCACATTGTACCATGGTACTGCCTTCCTTTAGACAGTCTTGTAAAAAAACTGTTATAGGTCGTGACGTGTCTTAGGCTTAGGCGACATGTATATTTATAATTGAAATAAAATAGCTAGGCAAAATACTTACATAACCTGGTCCGACTGAAAGGTTCACCTTGCATCGTAATGGCGAACTTCTCGTGGTCTGGAAGGACCACTAACTGCGTGAAATTTGTGTGTGGAAAGGAAAGGCTCAGTCGCCACATATTTCCCACTAAATGCACGAAAATACTCCACTGAAATTGACTGGTAATTTTGTAAACAGGCCTTATTAGAAACACCACTCATAAAAAAGCAAAAAATTAATTTTTTGTCAAAAATGGGAACATTATCTATACCTTGAGTCACCTTGCAGGATAAGATCCTCTTGCCGTTTCTGCAGAGCTTTCCATCAAGCTGGTAAGTTTTGTCCGCGATAAGTTTCTGGAGTAAATAATCAGTTTTTAAGGTGTGATATGAAGGAAATTAGAATCTATGCTCAGTTAGACAGGCGAGACCCTACCTACGATGCCGTCTGAGTAATAACGGAGTTAACTGTTAATGCCACTAATTTGTCCAGCAGATAAACCCGGGAGTGAGATGGTTCAGCAATTTGAAAATAGGCTGTTTCATAATAATAAATGTGCGGTTCTAATTCAGAATTATTGCAAAGCTCGGCGTTTGTCTATTTAAGTCCATTGGTAAGTTGCAAGGTCAAATGGCTTGGCAGCACTTGTGAAGCCTAAGTCTAGATTGAAATGGTTTGTTGTCAGAGAGCAATTTGTTTGGTCAGACAACTTCTCAGAAATCAACTTTTCAATTATAACTTTAGTTTGGAAGGGGCCTGCTTTTTAATATTAATGTTTATTGCTAGAAAACGAGCTTAGCAACGCGCAACAAAGGTCTTGATTAAAATTTACTGAAACTCAATAAATAATACCTATACATAATACCATACTTAATTTGGTGGGCGATAACAGTGTAATTGGCGTCTATGGAGCTAATTTTTTGCAAGTACGCGTTACTCTACACTGGAATTTTATCTCAACCTAGGGGGTCTTCTTCCTGTTTCGCCAGGCCATTAATTTAAAATCACTACGCATGTGGCGATACCAGGAGAAATCTAGTCTAACGAGATCGGAAGTGCTGTCTTTAATAGATTCGCAGAGGTCTATCTTTTTGAGTATTAAGCAGTTTCGTATAAAAGACGAAGTTGCATTAAAATATGAATGCAACGGAATACAGTCATTGTCCATCAAAAGGCAATCAATTTACTCCACACAAAACATGTATAAAATGCAATTTCATGCCCATTTCGGTCGTTTTTAAATTCCCGTATACGCTTGAGGCCAACCTGCAGTTTTACCTGTGCTCAAGGCTTCCAAACAAAAAACTGTACAGTTTCCATATAAGGAAAACCTCCGTTATTGGGGAGAGTTCATGAAACATAACGCATAAATTGGGATCAGGCGAAAAGTGGTCGAATGAGGACCGATACTGCTGTCGTTGGGGGGTTCGCAAAGACTTTTACTCTGCTGAGTATCGTGTAGCTCTCTTCAACAGACAAATTTGAGCGTAAGGGACATTTGGTGGCAGCATGACCAGTGTTCCTTAAAATATGCACTGTGTTTAATGCGACATCCTTATAGATCCCTATAGAAAGAACAGAATATTAAAATTACCATCCTCAAACTAAGCCAATCACTGATTAACACATCAGTGACTTGCTTATCGGCGCATTATCAAGTTTATCCACATTCCCTTCATAAGGTAAATTGGTGCACAGTTCACACTTACAAGATTTGTTTTTTTTTGTTGACGCATAGTTTAGTTCTCATGGACTCAAGAAAAAAGATACGATGAATAAAAATAAAAGGTTTCCTAAAAATTGGTTTTTTTGGCAGCCACAGTATTTCGACTGAAGAACATTGCGATGCGGAGGTCAAAGTACGCAGTGATTTGTGTTTGGGAATCAGCCACACGATTTGATTAACCCCTTGACTAGTCTTTCCTTAGAGTGAAAATCATGATCTACAGGCGATAACTTTATCTTTTTTGCGTTGTATTTTTTATTTTTGCCCTTGTTTTATTTATTGTATGGCTATAAACCATCTTGAATGGATGTGCAAATTCTCTTTCGGTTATTCACTAAACTTATCCAAACGAAGTCCTATCTGGTACTGGTTTATCTATTCGGCTTGGCAGCACAGAGATGGACCTGTGAATTCTTCCGAAATTTCCCAAGTCAAGCGTACTTACGGTGGGTAGAAAAGGGCAAAACACGGTGAGTCGACTTGGTTTCGAAGATATGTTATAAGTCGTTGGGTCTGACTTTGGCGCACATGATATATCTAAGAGGTAAAAAAAGATGTAGGTTTAGAGACAGAGGTTTTCTGAAATTATCAGTTTTACTAATTGCATCCTGTCCTGTCAAAAAATTTCGTATATTCCTACAAGCCTGCTAAGGGATTACAATGGTTGTACGTTTTCCATCGAAAAGTATGTTATTTCTTTTAAAGTACTGGTCAGATTATAACACTGACTTCGATTACGATGCCATTAGAATTAAGAAGATTTTCAGTTTGGTGGCACCTGGTAAGTAAATGGGCAAATTTTATATGTAAAACTCGTCTCCAGAAAAGGACCTTTGGGCCTCGCCGTTTGTCTATGCATGTAATTTGCAGATAAGCAACCACTAAGGATATGCTGAAGAAAGTATTTTTAGGCACTGTCCAATCTCATGCAGGACAAATGTGTTAGACAGTTTTAAGTCTGTGAATGCGGAAAACACCCTTGCTTTAATGATGAGCACATAACTAACCTCGGATGCCTAAAAGGCAGATGAAGGTGATCAATACAGATGTGTGCATGTTTATTCAACCTGCTATAATGCGCCCGAAGAGGCACAATCGAGTATATATGGGAATTTTTGCGTGGATTTGCGGCGCATGTTGATTAGCACGTTTGAGAGGTTTAAAAGTGCGAGTCATAAGCCATAGGTGGAGAGTTTATTCAACAGCCTTTAGTTCACTGCGTGGATCTAATCCGTGTGGTTAAAATATTGCGGCGCAGCGCGTCAACATTTTCGAAAACCGTTTTTCAGAGCAGGGACTAGTCGTTTAAAATTTCCTTTCAAATGTTCATCCTAAATTAGAAAGGTTAAAAATTAAATTTTGCCGACAATAGAAGTAGTTTATTTATCTTATTAAGAGTACGTTGCATTGTCTATTAGGTCAAGGATCAAAGTCCGCAAATGATATTCATCATTGATTAGATATGATTAACGAATTTGGACATTCTGTATGCCTTTTTTCTACGAATTGCTCGCCTATATTTCGAGATGTTTAAAAGTCTGAATAGACCGAGAAAAGTCAAAACAATGTCAATTGACGTGAAGAAACAGGGGTCCAATTTCGTAGATATAAACATCCTGACGGGAATTATTATTTTTATTTCAAAATGCATCGAGGATTTCCTTCAGTCAAAACGAAAAATGCTGGAAGTAAATTATTTTTGAATACTAAAAATGTTTTCCTCTTGCCATCAATCGTTTAAAGTTCCCCTGTTAGAGAACATTATGTGCATCATTATCGTCGCCACTATCGTTAATACCGCTAGTTATCGTACCTAAATGGGATTTTTGGTAGGATAGTTGCGCACCGGATGTGCGTCAATCGATACAGAGTATGCCAAGGGTTTTTAGAACAACTTAACTGTCCACGTTTATTTCAGGGAATTGTCGGTAGGAGGCTTTTTCAAAGTCTGGATCCTTCCATCCTCGCATTCATGTTTTAAATGCTCTCTGTTGTGCACCGTGCAATACTCACTCCCACTGCAGTTTACTTTCATGTTGACCCAACCTTAAAAAACCCAGCGCCTTGGTGCGATTTGAACCCTCAACAACAAGGGGAAGGCTTTAGTACAGCCAACGAACTATCCACCTGAGCTACGAGGCGCCACCGGGAGACGTGAATTTAATCACATTTGGGTCGTCATTTGACAAGAAGTCTGAAATGCGAGTGTAGGTTTCAGCAGATCCCTCTTCTCCGTCGATCGAAAGTGAACAGTTTTGGACTGTTCGTGACTTCTTTGGTCTAGTTGGACAAACGTTTCAATGAGCGCCATGTCTCTAGAGGCAGGCGACACGATCGCTGGGACACGAGCTTTATTAACCGGACGTTTCGGATTCGCACTGGAATCCATCTGCAGAGACTGAGTCAGATAAGGGTGGTAAATTGCTTAGGTGTTGCTGTATTTATAGGATGTAGTCGCTAGGTCGTTACATGCCTATCACAGTAAGCGGCTACCGAGTGAATCACGGCTTAATACGCCAGGTGCTGGAGCATGTAGTTGCCATACCGTTGCAACTCGCATGTTTGTCGATCAAGATTATCGGCTCGCACGCAGTCGAGTTGCTGACTGCCGGATTCCGTGATTCGCGTGAACTCTTGGACAGTTTGGCTCGCTGACATGAACAGCAGGAAGAGTGGTCATCCGCATGCTCTCCTCGCGGCCAACTACTTTGCCTAAGCAAAGTCTCAGCGCCGAATATGGAGTGGGGAGGCCGTTGCGCTTGTTTATTTATAATGAACCGGAAAATCGTGGCTCGAGCAGTTCGCGACTCATGCGGTTGTCGTCTCTAGCAAGAATTTCTGCCTCCGTAAGTTTGACGACAATGACTTGTTTTAAACTGTTCGTGAGTTCCTTGGTTTAGTAGAACAACCTTGTCAGCGAGCGTAGTATCTCTACACGGTATTTTAGCCATGTGTGCCGACATTGCGGCTGCAGGCTTTTGAGGGTCGTGCATGCATCTGTTCATCATATTGTCTGTGCGCCGATGCGTGGCCGGGGCATGAGACCAAATAAACAAACGCTAGCGCGCTCTTTGGGCTTCTTGAGTTACTACCTTGACTTCAGGCTTGTGCAGACCAAGTGACTGAGCTTCCAGCCGGTGGGGCGCTTCAGTCTTTTAAAGGTACAGATTACGACGGTAGGGTTGTTCCTGTCTATTTTAACCCTATAAAAGTTTGCCGATTCAATTTAGTAGATTTACAGTAGGTGGGAATCTCAACAGCAATTCCGAAATGCGTTTCCGTTTCAAAAAGATTAATTAAGTAGGCTTGTAAAACCAATAGTCATGCAGCAAAATTCTACAAAAATTCAGTTACCCCAGGACGCCGGCTTTCGAACAAACGTCTTTACGGCTGCATCCAAAAACCATACTCCGTAAAGTGTGACTACTTGAGTAGCATGCATTTTTTTCATTGATGTTCGATGCCCCTAAAGATTCAATTATATTTCATGAAAAATACGCATAAAAATATTCATCCTTTTGCTCATTTGATAGTAAATCAATTCTTCTTCCAATTTTATACTCAAAGGAAGGGTTTTAAAAAGTTTCTAATTGTGAGATTTTTTAATACCGTGAAATGGCCCTCCATAAAACGTCATGTCTCTGCAGTTACCAATGTGGCTTGTAAAGGTAACAATGTGCCTAATTTTATGGTCTCCTCTTAATTCAGCAGAGAAATGCATGGGTTTCCGTATGCGGAAATTATGCGGCTTGTAGTTTGCGAGCCCTGAATGCAAATGTGACGGCAGGTCAGGTTTAAAATTATTCGGGCATTGGAAAAGTTTTGTAAATCAAATTATACCCTTCCTTCGATTATAAAACTGAAAAAAGACGTAATTTTGTACTGAATCAACAAAAAATGAATATTTTTAGGTATGCATTCTATGAAAAATAATTGAATATTTAAGGGCATCGAACACCAATGAAAAAAATGCATGCTACTCAAGTAGTCACTTTTTACGGGCTATGGTTTTTGGATGCAGCTGCAAAGACATTTGTTCAAAAGCCAGCCTCCTTTGGTAACGGAATTATTATAGATTTATGCTGTAGGATGATTGGTTTTGCAACCCTACTTAATTTATCTTTTCGAAACGAAAACGCATTTTCGAATTCCTGTTGGATTTCATGAGTTAGCCTACTTACTGTACGTTCTTCAATGAGTCGGCGTAAACCTGGGACAATGCATTCTGTCAACGTCTGTTCTTCAGCATGTGGCCACAAAGAGGTAAACGAATCGAAAGGCGGACGGCTTAGTTGAAATATACTAAAGTTATCCAACTCATCGGACTCCTGATCAGATCAATCTTTAGTGAAAAAGAACCGCGTCAAATCCGCAATCCGTACCTGCGTTTATCAAAAGGATTACAAGATACGAGTGGTGAATTTGTTGCGACTAAGCAGTGGGAGTGTGTGCAGTCTGGGCGCCACCATAATCAGGTTGAATCCTAATGTTAATAGGAGAGAGAGACAGAAGGTATCAATTTGTTGCGATTATGCGGTGAGAGCGCTATAATTATCAAGTCAAATTCCAGATTGGAAGGAGAAGTCGGAAGGCACCAGAAGGAGGGGTTTATTGTGTACAGAACCCTGAGTTGTCCTCTCAGGCAGCAGTGGCTACTGGCGAAGCCACGGCTAGTGTTGACTGCGTCCAGTCATGCCTGAGAATCCCTCAGGTAGTGGTGGCAGCCGCTTTTTCGACTCATGGGCCAAGCTCAAGTGGTGGCCAATCGGTGTGTGTTGCATTTGCCGAGGGGTGGTGTCCCAGTGGCTTGTTCTGCTGGTTGCAAGGTGAGGTACGTCCAAGGGACCGCATGGACAGCTGCGACGCTGTGAGTACGTAGTTGTATCCGAGCTGAAGGCGGTCGAGTGGATTCGGGTCAGCGCGTCTGGAACGGCTGGCTGCAAGGGGTGAATGACCTTGAGACAGCGAGGTCTTGAACAATGACGCCAGACCGGTCATGAAAACTGTCCGCTACAAATTATATTACTTCGTTGCCCGGAGATTCACTGCAGACTCCTGGCTCCCGAGAAGTCGTCCTGTATTTATTGGCGGAGAGGCTAACAAAGTCCCTCCACGATCAGGGTACCTTAGAAGTCGAAATAAATGAGGCTCTATCGCATGGGAGGGACTGTGACCTGTCTGATGTTAGTGGGAGTTAGAAAATTTCCCATATGCGCTGGCATGTGTTGCAGTGTTGCACAAAATACTTTTGCACAACGCGGAAAACGTCAGAGAAGTATAACCTATTGGTGATATGGACGATCAGCATTGTACCAGAGGTAGCCAAAAAAACGAGAATTACTTTCTGTTGGCAAGTGGGTCGACAGTGCTGCTCTCTCCCGCTAGACATCTCCCTTGCTCAGTTGGTTAAGCTCAGTTCATGAAAATCCATCGACTGAGGGACTGTTTTATCAGACTGTCTCCCAACACTCTCAGTGATTTTACGAGGAAAAACTTTGACGAACATCGCGCTAACATCAAATTCTGTTTACCGTCCACGGTGGCTTGTTTTTTGGCATCGAAGTAGCCGTTCACGTGAAAGTTATCCCTCATGATATCACAGTGGACCACTACTATTATTTGCAAGAGCTGAAGCTACTGTACATATGAGGCAGTAAGAAAAGGCGACCTATATTGTAACGATCAAGGGCTGGCTGCTCTGTCATGACAACGCGTCTACCTAATCAGCATTCACAATCAACTTGTTTTGGCAAAAAATGACAGGAAAAGGGTTGTTCACCCCCCCCCCTTTACTCGCCAAACTAGCCCTTTTGCGACTTCTTCTTATTCCCAAAAGTAAAGGAAAACCTGAGGGGAAAGCGCTTTCAGGACGTAAAGGAGGTTAGGAAAAATTGTATTAGGCACATTATAGCACTAGTTCAAATGAATAACAAAGAAAGGCTTTGAGCGGTAGCAAACCCGATGGGACAAGTGCACAGTCTCTAATAAATAGTATTTTGGAGGAAATTTGTGCTTCTAAGATAGTACCTTGAATTTGCAGTTCAAATAAATGGTTC